TTTCCTCCCATTCTTTTTTCCTCTGTTTTTTCATTTTGCTGCCGCAGTTTCTTCACCTCAGTCGCACTAGTTTCGATCTTGTCTTTCATTTTTCATCATAATCTGGATTACCCAAAATTATCGTGAACTGTGCCTTTAAAGACAGAGTTAACGATAGAGATGGCTTATGAGATATCCCGCTAGGGTGAATCGTGGTCCTTCCTATACCATATGTGGCGCTATCAGGTCGGAGAACGGCCTCAGGATTTCCTCCACTCACCCTGAGTGTTAACTCAAAGGCACAGTTTACGATAAAAATGGTTTTTGAGACTTCCCCACAGGATGAATTTGAGGCCCTCGCGTATACAACAACTGACACTATTAGGTCGGAAAACACCCTATTCAAGGAGTTATAAAAGCTTAAAGATTGGCTCGTGTGTACCCTCGGACGAGTTTCCACGACATTGTAGAGGCTGCACCGATCACACCCATGTAGGAAATTCAAACAACTTGTCGTGACTCACAGCGACAGCAGAAAGCAATTCTGGACAGTTTTGGCTTGATGAAGTCAGCTCTTTGCGCAATTGCAACAACCGAAATCTTTTCCGAATACTCCTTCTATGTCCTTTCTGTCATGGTGATCACGTACAACCTCTATTTTCACTTCGTTTAAGGACCATATCTTTCGCAAGTCACCGGATTTTTCCACCTCCTTCACCACCGATGCACTATTTTCGAGCAATACTTCCGCTTTTCGACTTGAAAAGGGCTTCAAAAATTCACGACTTCAAAAACTAAATTGTAGTGAACTGAGCCAACAGAGCGAAATCGTTCAAAAACAGTCACTCCTGCTAGCGAGTTCCGCCGAAAAACCTCTCGGTGGAAACAATATATTTTGGGCCCCTGAGTTACCCAAAATATCCTTACCAAACATCGACGGAAGAATGGGCGACTTTGAAAACTTTTGATCCTTATTTCGCGCAAATATTCATGAAAAAAACCTGACTGGATTACAGAAGTTCAACTATTTCATATGGCCTTGAGGAGTAGCGCGAAGAAGGCAATAAGAAGATTTCCTATCACAGAAGAGAACTATGCCGCGGCACTGGACCTACTGCATTCAACGTAAGGCTAAGCTAGTACGCAACTTCCACACGCGAATAGAATAGGTCATTACAAAAGGAGACCAAACAAGTGAGCAACGTAAACTCCTCACGTACCTAATATCCGTTGTAACGCAACTAGAACTGCAGGGAGTCATTCTTAAAATTTCCTATATCATCCAAAAAATCCTAGCAAAGATCCAACTAGAACTTCAACAAGATTACTTGAACAACGAGTGAATCAGGATTGCGACGGAGATAGTTGGACAGACCTTTTGAGTGATGTCGTCTGTTCATAAAGACAGAAGAAGGGATCGCGGAAATGATCCAGGAGAATGAATATTACAGGCAAGCCCCCCTCCTACTCTATTTGGTAGCGACATATTTCTACCTACTGTACGTACCTATCACTCTGGGAAAACCAGTCCGCACAATCCTGAAAGGGACTTACAATAGTACGGATTTCAAAAGGCATCCATCGTATAATAAAAAAGGCATGGTACAACTTCCAAATAAGCCACAAGACCGTCTGACAAGGTTCGCTAGCAGAAGCAATTGCTCTTTTGACCATTTGTAGCATCAACTAACCACTCACCTTAAGCTGTCGAGAGGTTAATGTAGTCATGGTTTTAAAACCACGTATGCCAAAACTCGGCACATTTTGCTCTGTGCGAGTCACAATAGTCGGAAATAGTCAAACTGAACCCATTCAAGCAAGAAGCGTGCCTACGAATCTACGCAAACAAAACATTTGTAACGATAATAAGGTTGCGTTGGAAAGGTCTACTGTTGTCCTGCGATCACCAAGTGATCATATTTACGAGAGATGCAGACATTCGAGTAACGGATAGCAAAAGATGTGCACATATGGGGTCCTGTACGGGAGGAAAATGTTTAAAAAACCTTATCGAAGAACTCGATGGGGCATACGAGTTTCCAGGAAGAACATTCTGCCTGGAATTTTTTGGCGGTATAGGGTGCGACTGTTTCTACTCAAGCTCTGCCCGTCTTTTTTACAGAATTTAACTCCGAGGACAAGCGACGTCTTTGAGCTCTCAAAATTTAGTGTCATGAACAAGTGAAACTAGAAAGTACGACATCACGATATCGATATCACGACATCCCAAAAACCATCGCAATATATTTTGTAGGCTATCCCAAATGTGCCGATTAAAATCGCGGACTACGAAATCACTATGACCTTGCTTGCACTCCCTACAATAACAGCCCCGAACTTTTTCTGTTCTCGAGTGCTTACGTGCTCACTTGCGGAAAAGTTCATCTGTCGCAAAATGAGGCTTTTCTCATATTCCCAGGTAAATACATAGATGGTAGGCTTACATTCCTTTGTAGCTCCTCCTTTGTAGGGAACGGAGATTCTTGTCGGACCACAACCAATACCCTTCGATCGCCCTTAGGCTTTATTCAATACCGGTTATCGAATTGTCCTTTTCGGCTCTCTTGCACTTCAACGGCGCAGCTCCGATACGTCGTCCTGATCAGTCGGCAGATAAGCCTTGCCATTTCAGGCACTACCACTTACTTGTTTCTCACTCTTCTGTCTCGTTGCTACAATATACCCTACTGATTCAGGCCTGCACTGTATTCGGCCTCGCTGTTACTAGCTACAACGCAACTTCGATGCGTCTCACTGATGAGTCGGAGATAAGCCTCGCCGCTACAGGCACGACCAGTTGCTTCTGTCTTCATCTTCTAGCATTGCTGCTGCATTCCTGTATTCGACCTATTTAGGCCTTGTACGTCGTCAGCCTTCGTGTAGTCAGTAGTCAGAGGAACTCCGACACGTCCGAGACCGTCCAAAATTCCTGAAGAGAAGAGATGGCACTGAGTCACTGGTTGATTCTCTGGAACTCCTTTATAACGAACTAAAACATTTTACACTAACCGCGTGGCACTCAAGGAAAGGCGTGATTCCCACACCATCGTGCATAGACTCTGTATCGGCTATTCCTTCATTATGATACTTGTCAGAAAGGTTGGTCAAATGTGGCCGGTGACCGCCCCGCAATCACGGTAGCGCGGGAACTACCGCATAAAAATGCAAGAAAAACACAACTAGAAGTTTTTCTCTACCTCGGATTCGCCCGCCACCGTCGTTCGTCAACTCCACTACCTCGTCAGCTACTCAATCTATTTTTATCGTATTCTTATTAATTGCTGTTATTTCTTCATAAAGTTGTTAGTTTGAAGAGTCCTAGGGACACACATACATCCCCAAAATTTTGACTTGCTACATGTGTGTTTTGTCCGGGTTTCACAATTGCTTTTATAGCATATGACTGTACTGCACCGGGTATCAATATCACAGAGATCGACGACGATCTGCTGCAGCCATCATATGAGACCATGACCTAGATTCAACTTGCACAGATCGTAGGTACACTTGAAGTCGTTGTCACGGCTTGTATGGCCAAAATTTAGCGGTTGGTGCACTATTGCCGCATGAACAGTCTTACCAGTGCGGTGGCGAATGGACCTGCGGAATACGGGCTCGAGCTAGGCCGCGATCGAATCATCTCTACTTATACAACAGGTGCTACCCATCCTATCACCTATCGTTGTCATTAGTCAAGCTTCCGCCGATACTACCATTATGAGTTCTGTGACCCTGGCCGCACGAATATCATCAGACGGACGGTGCGATGGATTAGGATACTCCGATAGCTTTGGGGCCTGTTAAAATGTAGTGGTGCAGGCCTCAGTCACCATCTCAATATCTCGTTATGTGGCGCATGTCGAGAAAAATCTGATGTCATTCGCCTTCGAGCATCCATGGAGAGAGAGCACCGGATACCATTCATGCGATTCCATCGAGCCTACATGTGTACCAGGCACCCAAGTCTGTAACTGTTGGAGGAATATATTTTCCTGATGAGGTTCAGAACATGGTCAACTAATTGATTTTTGGCACAGAAAGGGAGGCTGTAACAGCTCGCATAGCTAGAAGGGTGCTAAAGCAACCAGTGTCTGGAACTGGCCTATCTCTAAATGATTTAATATCAGAAGAGAAACTTCAGTCAATAGTCGATCGTTTTGTATCCATTGTGTCGTCATTTCTTGGCTTATAGATAGTCCTCGAGATGGCTTTGTTTGTGTTTGTGATTCCATGTCCAATCTCAAAACTCTCCGTGACCTGTTAGGATTAAATGTGAAACTTTTTTGTGCTACCTCTACAGCTCTAACCCGCCTGCTCGTTCACAACAAGCGTTGTTGATTACCGTCGCCGTCTTAAGACCCAGCAACAATGCATGTCTACAACGCCCCGTAACCAGAGTTTGAACGACTTTTGAATCCATTCCCGGTCCCGACCCACTTCGTGGAAGGCGAAGTATCGCGGAACGAGATTTCAATACCTTTCAACAAACACTGCGTGGTAAATTTCTATCTAGCGAGCGAACGCTTCTATGCGAAAAATGTTTTCATACGACTTTGGTGTGCCTTGTGAAAAGCCTAAAGACATGATCAGATAACTATTACAGAAAGTCTCGCACCTATACAAAGGCTTGAAAAAAACATAGTGGAAGCTTCGCAACTTCTCGTTGAACACTTTTCCTATTGCTCCTAATTTTGCTGCTGATTGCTCATTTCGTTTGTATTCTTAAAGGTCGATTGAGGTTTAATTACCCAAGTTCGAGAAGGAGCAGTAAACGCTCCGAATGACACCCTTGTTGTCACCGCGTGGCTATTTTACAGAGCTCATATTCGATCCTTAAATTTGCTAAATACCTTTAAACATGAATTTGAGATGTTTTCCCTTTTGTTTTCATTTGTCTATTTGTGCGCAGATAAACATGTTTTCCCTTCTGTACCTTCCATGCAGTCGAGTCGAATCAGTCGTTCTTAAGTACCACATGAAAATCAGATGAGCCATTCTGAAAGAATAACCTTTTAAAGTATAGGAATGAGGAGGAAGAATGCAAAACGTTGCGGAGGCGTACACCTCAACTGGGAAGTACAGTTCTTCCAGTCACTAAGAGTTATACTTAATAAATCTCTCAAATGTGAAAAAAAATAGTAATCGTGCTTGATGGCAACATTCCTTTGAAGTAATTGAAATCATGATTTCGAAAATCGAAATACAACAAAAACAAGAATACAAGGAACACTTGAATTCTAAATTCTTTGGGATGAACCCTCGCCCTCACTTGACTTTTAATCGGGGGCGTTTTAAATTGACATGCGCCCATACAATGACTTTCCGTATGGAGTAGATGTACGAATCAAGGCTTTTATCTGCTCGGATCTCTTCGGTGCCAATTAATCCAAAAGGATGGAAGGCGCGGTTGGTCAGACGAGTATCTATAAAGGGATTTGATACCCGGGTCATGCGTGGGATCGTGCCACTTGCCACTATGCCAGCTCTATCCAAGGCAAATAAATAAGTATAAATAAATATGATAAATATCGAGAAGTTCGGAGTTGAGTTTATCACAATACAATCACTCTTTCAGAAGTAAGAGAATGTCGTTCTAGATGAATCAACGGACTTGACACATGAGAAGTTGGCGGAGCTATTCCAGAATGTCGATACCATTGACGGTGCATTAACAATTGTGAACACTTCGTACAGGAACGTCAGTTTCTTCAAGGCGATAAGTCGAATTAGGCGCAACATAGAGAGGATAGGTAGGTTTACGGCTCGAGGTTGATCCTCAGGCTATGGTGTTTTGAAATTGACACCTCTGAAATACATTGAATTTGAGGTATCAGGAAGTTTAGTTTGCCTCTTTTGAGATGTGCCTGACACCTCTCACTAGTGTCATCCTCCTGCATCCATTCGTAAAGTCCAGAGCGAAGAGCAGCGCATTTCAGGGCAGACCAATGAGTAGAGGTATAAGTAGGCAGAGGCAGAGAAGCAGACACACAGGCAGAAAGGGCAGGTAAGCAGTTAGACAGACAGACAGACAGACAGACAGACAGACAGAC